AGCTTATGGTGGCTGAATGCGCTGGTTTGCCATTGGCCATTGCTGTCATTGCAGGAAGCATGAGAGGAGTAGAAGATATTTCTGAGTGGAGAAATGCATTACGTGAATTGCGTCAATGCGTCGTGGACACAGAGAAAGATTCAGAGGACGAGATATTTAAACGTTTGAAGTTTAGTTATGACCGTCTACCAAATTCAAGCATCCAAAAGTGTTTCTTATATTGCTCATTGCATCCAGAAGATTGGGAGATTAGAAGACAAGACCTAATTGAAGACTGGATTTGTAAGGGAATTGTTGGAAAATTAGAAAGCAGAAGAGAAATGCAAGATAAAGGAAATGCTATTTTAAATATGCTTGTGAACTGTTGTTTGTTAGAGGGAGGCTATAGAAAGGAGTTTGTTAAGATGCATGATGTTGTGAGGGACATGGCACTGCGCATCAGGAGCACGCGTCCTTGTAGGTTTATGGTAAAAGCTGGAATGAGATTGACAAAGATACCGGATGAGGATGAATGGAATGAAGATTTAGACAAGGTCTCCCTCATGAAAAATGAAATATCAGATATCCCTGAAAATATGTCCCCCAAATGCTTGATGCTCTCAACCTTGATTTTGGAGGGTAATAAAGGATTGAGACAAATTTCAGAGTGTTTTTTTGCTAACATGCCCCAGCTGAAGTTTCTTGATCTTTCTAGAACTGGCATTGAGGTTCTACCTAATTCCATATGTAACTTGGAATATCTCACTGCACTGATCCTCTGTGGATGTCAGCTTTTAGAACGCATGCCTTCCTTGTCAAAGCTTAAAGCACTGAAGAAGTTGGATTTGAAGGGAGCAGGCCTTCGTGAGGCTCCTGAAGGCATTGAAATGTTAGAAAATCTGGAATATCTTGATTTATCTTGTCTCAACCTGAGGGTGCTACCAAGAGGAAAAATCAGTAAGCTCTTTCCGCCTCCAATACCTACGTAAACATCGGATTTTTCCAAGTGAAATAAGGGGAGAAGAAGTAGCGGGTTTGAAGATGCTGGAATTGTTTGAAGGTGGATTTGATTGCCTGAAAGACTTCAGCAGTTTTGTTAACAAGTTGAACCATTGTGGAAGACCCAGTCATTACTTTATGAAAATGGAAGGAGAACCTTTCCTCGGAAACAAAATGGAAGGAGAAACTGACGTTCTATTCTGTATGAGTTGGGATACAATATGGTTTCCGGATATCATGGAGTTAATACCAATGGATATGATACACAGGGGCAAAGATAACGAGGGGTATTTTTGGAAGTTCAACAATAATGATCTTCCTAAATGGGTAATTTTATCCAGATGCAAGATAGGAGAAAAAGATGAGTTTGTCCTTCCAGATGACCTTCAGGATTTGAGGATTGAATCCTGCAATGCGGTCGGTGATATTTCTATTTTTCAGAAAGATCCTACTCAATTGCGAACTTGTGCTTTGAAATACTGCCAAGGGATAGTGTGTGTGGTCTCTTTGTCATCATCTTCATCTACTTCCTTGACAGTTATGAATAACCTTGAAGAACTAACTCTTGAGTGTTTGTCTGACTTGCGGGATGTTGTGAAAGTGGAAAAAACAAGAGCATCGCTTGCACCGACAATATGCCCTCACATCTTTTCCAATCTTAAACAGCTGAGGGTATACGATTGTTCAAAATTGAAGAAGCTTTTTCCATATGAGCTGCTGCAGGGTCAGGGCCTCCAAAACTTGGAGCTGATTGAGGTGAATTATTGTCAGGGGATGGAGGAAATAATAGGATGGGAAGAAGAGGAGGAAGGAAATCAAACGACTACTCCAATATTGATCACTCTTCCAAAATTAAGGAGATTGGACTTGAATTATTTACCAAAATTGAAGAGAATCTGCCCCGAAAGAGGAGTAATGGTTTGTGAATCTCTCAATAGCATCAAAATATCGACCTCTATGAAGGTAAAGAGGATTCCCTTTTGTCTTAGAAGGAAAAACACGCAACCATCTCTTCCTGCTGTCAAATGTATCTCTATTTTAAATCCAAAAAAATGGTGGGAATCGTTGGAGTGGGAGAATCCTGACGATAAGATTGTCCTCCTACCTTTCCTCAAATATAATGAGTTCGGGTAAGTCTCATTAGTCTCCCTTTTTCCATCACTTGCATTCCATTCTCTCTTCTCTCTGGTATTTCATAAATAAATGTTTCTATCTCTTGTTTCTGAATGAATCCAAGAGTTAATCTCCGTTGATTTGCTCAATTATCTAATCTTGATTTAATGCGCTTTCTTGCCTGCCAACTGCCTCTACACTGGTAATTAGTTGATTCTATTTTTCTCATCCAAATATTAAGTGGTTTTAAAGGATTTGATACTGTCTTTTTCACCAAAGTGCTTCTCAATTCATATTATGGTTCTTATTTGTTTGTCCAAATGTCAGTTCTATGTTTTCTCTATATCACACAATCTATTGAACCATGTTGCAGGGCTCTTATATACTACACAGAAATGTGCTCAGCATCTGACATAATGGAGTTTCTGTGAATTGGATATATATGAGTTGGTATAGTTGGCTTATTGTTCAACTCTTGCAGCCATTCAACCTATACGTAGGCCATAACAGACCCAAGGTATGAATTTCTCTCATATTTGATCTATTGATTTTGTTAAAAACTTCTGTGGCTAACTTGAGCATCTTAAGTTCCCTACCAAGGCACACTTCTGCAGCCCTTCACCGTCTTTCCTCCTGCTTTCAGATTGTGCTTTCTTCTGTATCAGCTGCCTCTACCTTCCTATTCTACACTGGTAAATTTTCAAGATTTGTGTTATTAGATTTTACTTTAGCAAATTCCATATGATATCTATCTCTCTTAATTGGATGCTAATTCCTTTATAATTACCAATCACGGTGATTCATGTGTGATCATGTGAAAGTGAAAGGAATAGCAACTACCATGCATGGCCTGTACCTACCAACATTCCCTCACATCTTTTTGTAATTAAAGAATTTTGTGTAAAAATTAGAAGTTCCAGAATGAAGAATTTGCTTCCCTTTGAAAAGCTGCGGGATCTTCACGTTCATGATTGCAAAGAGTAATAGCATAGAAAAACGGGGAAGGAAATTAGACAATGGATGGAAGAGCTACACTCACTCTTCCAAAACTAACCTACTTTGGGACTTACATGACGAAACATAATTGAAGAGAATCTGCTTGAGCAATGGTTTGTTTTTCTCTTAATTTTCACACTCTAAATTAACTTTTTAAACTTAATAACTTATTTAAACTTGCTAGTACCAATCCTATTTTGTCAAGTTTTTAATATGGTAAGACATGTCTTAACTCTTCTCATGATTTACCTTTTTT